TGCCACATATGGAAGAGTTTGCACAGAGCCAGCCAGCAAAGCAGAAACGCGTTTTGCAAAATATAAGCATCAGCTTCACAAAGTAGAATACAGAAGGACAGATTTGGAGCTGAGAAACAATTACTTAATACGTGGCACACCCATTTTAGTAAAGGTGTTGCATTCTGCCAACTTGCTACCTTAGAAGTCTAGTAGTCATTCTCACAGCCTGTCTCTTCCAACTCGCCATATATAAGCTGCTAAATATCTTTCAAGTCTGAATCCACTGCCATAACCATCATCATCACGAACTCTGCAATGACATTCTAACTAGTTAAGCTAGATGACTCTTCTCCTCCAATTCATTTTGTAAAAATGCGGATCTGGCCTGGAAAGGTGACTCGTGCCTGTAATCCCAGCACTTTGGGAGGCTGAGGAGGGTGGATCACCTGAGGTTAGGAGTTCAAGACCAGCCTGGCCACATGGTGAAACCTTGTCCATACTAAAAATACAAAAATTAGCTAGGCATGGTGGCGGACACCTGTAATCCCAGCTACTTGGGAGAGACTGAGGCAAGAGAATCGCTTGAACCCGGGAGGTGGAGGTTGCAATGAACTGAGATCATGCCACTGGGACTCCAGCTCAAAAAAAAAAAAAAAAAAAGAAAAGAAAAGAAAGAAAGAAAGAAAATACAGACCTGGTTATTAGAATAAAATCTCTCTCTGCTTTATTTCACAATACTCTCAATTTGGCTCTCCCTTCTCTATTTATGCTGTTGTTCTTTTACTTTGTCAAACACATCCTCTCATTCTTGGACCTTTGCACCTGTTCATCATTTCACTTATGGGCTAATCTCCCATTCCTACAAACTCCAGCTTCCTCCTCCGGCTAACTCCTTTAAGTCTCAAGTAAAGTAGGTAATCTTCAGTGAAGTCTTCCTGAGCCCCAGATATCATTCCTACCTGCTCCTTAAGAGGCATAGTAACTTAAGTTACTAATTAAAAAATTATTTTCCTGCCCTCTGCCTATTGCTTTATCCTCACCATTCACATTCAAGCCATAATGCATAGGCTGCTATTTATCCTTGATGATTGCTATTGGATTGTGCTCAGAATGTATGCTTCAGATTCTTAGACTCTGTACTTAAAATTTAATGGTGCGTAAATATTTTAGAATCTTTTTTCCCTTGTCTATTCATTCTAAACTAGATAAACAATTTTGAAATCTCCATTCTCACAGTCTTCCCTATCTTAGTTGATGGATATGCTATCCTTCCAGCTGCTTAGGCCAAAAACCTTTAATTCCTCTCTTTCTCTCATAGCCCACATCTAATCCTCAGCAACTCACCTCAATGCTATCTTTAGAATAGGTCTATATTCCAACATTTATTACTTCCTGAATGGTGCCCTAGTCCAAGCCACCATCTGCTCTTGCTGAAATATTCTAATTGTCTCATCGTTGGTTTCTCTGCTTCTATCTTGGACTCATCTATCCTTTCTGCACACAGCACACAGAATAATCTTTTCACAGATAAGTCACTCCTCTGTTCAAAACCATTCAATCACTTCTGTTCTTTCTCTGGATAAAATTCAATGCCTTACAGTGGCTGTAAGACCTGATATAATCTAGCCTCTTGTTACCTTTGTGGTCTGATCCACTACCTCTCTTCATACCACTTCACTCCATTCCACTGGTTGGTGGGGTTCACTCACTGTGGGGTAGTAGGGAAGGTGGTGAGGGTGATGTGCTAATGAGGCTAATTCTGCAAATTCAAGAAGAACTACAAATTCCATTCAGCTACCGCTATGGGAAGACCTTAATGCTGCTAGGGTGAAGAAATAATTGCTGGAGTGATGCTACCAGGAATCAAACAAGAAGAATTTTCCTCTTCCTCCTCTAGCCTCCTTACTGTTCTTAGAACACTTCAAGCACACTTTACTTCAGGGCCTTTGCACTTACTATTAAATACTCCTTCTACAGATATTCCTATGGTTCACTTCCTCACTTAATTCAGATCTTAACTCAAATGTCTCCTTATCAAAGTGGCCTTCTCAAAACTGAAAAAAGAAATGAATGAAGAATGAAATAAATGAAGAGCTATACTATGTTCATAGATGGAAATGCTCAATATTGTTAGGATGTTAATTTTCCCCAAATTTATCTATAGTTTTAATGTAATTCCTATCAAAATTCCAGCCAGGTTTTTTTTTAATACATAATGACAAGACGATTCTAAAATGTATGTGGAAAGACAAAGAAATTAGAATCGTCAAAAATTATAAAAAAGAAGAAAAAACTTGTAGAACTCACACTACCCACTTTCATGAGTCACCATAAAGCTACAGTAATTAAGACTGTGGTGCCAGAAAAAGGATATACATATAGATAAATGGTTTGGAATAGAGAGCCCAGAAATAAATACACAAATATAGTTGCCTGATTTTTGACAAAGGCACACAATTTCAATGGAAAAAGAATAGTCATTTCCACAAATAGTGCTGAAATAATTGGATGTTCATATGCCAAAAAAGAACCTCAACACATATTTCACAGCTTATATAAAAATTAACTGAAAATAGATCATAGGTCTAACTGTAAAACCTAAAACCATAAAACTTGTCTGGAGTTTGAGACCAGCCTTGACAACCCTGTCTCTACTAAAAATACAAAATTAGCCAGGTGTGGTAGTGGGCACCAGTAATCCCAGCTATTGAACCTGAGAGGTGGAGGCTGCAGTACACCATGATCATGACATTGCACTCCAGCATAGGTAACATGAGTGAAACTGCATCTCAAAAAAAAAAAAAAAAGTAATTACTGACATGGAAGAACTGATTATTGCCATTTTGTTAATTGTTTTCTGCCTGTTTTATAACTGTTTTTGTCCCTCTTTTCATCTCTTGCTGTCTTCTTTTGTGTTTCAATGATTTTGTAGTGACGTGTTATGACTCTTTTCTCATTTTCTTTTGTGTATTCTCTATAGGCATTTTCTTTGTGGCTACCGTGGAGCTTACATTAAAAATATTGTAACAATGTATCTTAAGCTGCTAACAATTTAACTTCAATTGCATATAAAATATCTACTCTTACTCCCCCCCACAACTTCATGTTATTAATGTCACAAATTACATGTTTTATATTATGTACCATTAGCATATTTTATAGTCATTTTTATACTTTTGTAACTTCTATATGAAAGTTAAAAGTATGTTATATACCATCACTTCAATATTACAGTATTCCATATTTACAAGTGAGCTTTGTACTTTTATATGTTTTCATGTTGCTGTTTAGCATTCTTCATTTAAGTTTAAAGAATTCCCTTTAGCACTTTTTGTAAAGCGATGAATTTATTCAGCTTCTGTTTATCTGGGAAAGTCTCTATTTCTCCTTTTTTTGGTGTTTGTTTTAATTACAAATGATTTTCACTATGTCACTGAGGTTTAAATGTAGTGGCTCTGCAGTGGCTATTCACAGGTGATATCACAGTGCACTGCAGCCTCAAGCTCTTGGGCTCAAATGATTCTCCCAACTCAGCCTCCTGAATGGCTGAGGCTACAGATATAGAACACTGTTCTCTCTTAATTGCTGAAGGACAGTTTTGGCAGTTATACTGTTCTTGGCTGACAACGTTTTTTCTTTCAGTACTTTGAATATTTATCTCCCCTCCTTCTGGCTCACAATGTTTCTGCTGAGAAATTCACTGATAGTCTTATAAATGACAAGTAGCTTTTCTCTTGCTGTCTTCAAAATTATTTTTTTTTTTTTGTCGATTGACGTTTGATTATAATGTATATTGGTCTTGATAAAAGAAAAACTGCATCTGAATTAAATTTAAAGGAATTGAATTAGGCAATGAATGATTCACACATTGGGCAGTCCCCCAGAATCAGAGCAGATTCACGGAGACTCCAGTACAGCCAGGTGGTGGAAGAAAATTTACAGACAAAAGAAAAAAAAAAGGAAATGACATATAGAAATCAGCAGTGAGGTGCAGAAGCAGCTGGATTGGTTACAGGTTGGTGTTTGCCTTATTGGAACACTTAGCAGTTTATGAGTGGGTAAAGTATGGCCTCTGGGACTGGCCAAGACTCAGTTATTGTTACAGGCACATACTCCTAAGTTAGGTTTTAGGTCTTGTCTATTAAGCTACTTTACAGTTTATCCACAAGGACTCAAATATAGAAGTATAGATCCTTTCTTAGGCCATCTGTGGTTTGCTTTAACAGTGTGCAATTCTTTGGAATCATCTAGCTGGAATATGTTGTGCTTGTTGAATCTGGACGTTCATTTCATTTCCCAGATTTGTGAAGTTTCTGGACTTTCTTTCTGCAAATAAACTTTCTGCCTCCTTCTCTCTCTCTCTTCTGTTCTCTACTCCCATATCCATAAGCTGGCCCGCTTGCTACTGTCACATTAGTCCCTTAGCTTTCTTAACCCTTCCTACTTTTTTGTTGTTATGGCTCTGGATGGAAAATTTCAAATGATCTGTCTTTGTCTTTGCTGATTCTTCTGCTTAAGTTGATGGTTGAATTTCTCTAGCGAATTGTTCAATTCAGTTATTGTATTTGTCAGCTCTGTCTCAAAAAAAATTTTTCTTTAGGGTTAATTTAGGAAATATTCTGCTCCTTTAATTGGCCCCTTTTTCCCGGTTTCTTTATGTGTTATAACTGTGCTTATATTCATGCATTGAAAAACACAACAACTACCCCTTCCAGTCTTTATGGACTGTCTTCATACATGGAAAGACCTTCATCAAGCAGCACAGCCAAAGACTGAGAGTTTCTCAAACCTTTTCTGTGGATGCATTTTCTCTGGAGTTGTGCATACAAATTCCGACATAGAAGGATTTACTGGTTTATTTTCTTCAAGAGCCCTAATCTCCTGCTCTCTTTGGTGTCTGCTCGTAGTGCTGTTGGTTCTCTAGAGCTTATGCAAGCTGCTCAGCAATCTGTTTTTCTCAGTGCCCCCTAGGCTTCTAGAGTATGCTGAATCCTATTAGCAATCCAAATCAGGTAAGACAGAAACTAGTTATTTGGACAGCTCCCTGAAAAGCCAGAGCATTGGATGCATACATCACTGTTTCCTTCTATCTTTAAAGGAGAGGTTGCTGAATTGCATGACTTCTGTCTGCTGTTTCACAAATTCTCTGGAGCAGCAACAAACACCTAGCTATCTTTTGTTGTCAGTGGCCCCTAAGTACATATAATATGCTACATTTGTCCATGCTCTGAGGCAGGAGAGACAAAAACCAGTCCCCTGAAAAGCCAGAACACTGGATACATGTTCCAAGTCTTTCCCTTCCCAGGAAGAAGCTGGGAGTTGAGGATTTTCTTCCATTTGTTCTGCACTGAGCCAACAGGAGAAATGATGATGAATGAGGGCATGCTACTTCACATTGTCACCTTTAGTAGTCCCCAACCTCAAAGACTTACCTGTTAGCACCTAGATTTAGGCAAGACAGAAACCAGTCCCTTGAGGAACGACCCCCAGAAATCAAACGTTTAATGTATGCCTCAACCTCCACCTTCTCTCTACAGGGAGAAGGCAGAAGTTGGGAGTTTTATCCTGATCCTACCACACTGATCAAGGGAGAGGACTATGGTCAGTGAGTGGTACAAATTTTCCCATTGGCTTTGATGCAGCTGGTTTCATGCTCTTCTGGAGTGCAGGGTCATCTAAAGGGATTTCTTGATTTCTCATACAGGAAATTGATCCATGCATTGTTGTTGCAAGTTGATGTCTTTGTCAGGGCAAGAAAGGTCTCTGGCTTCCTATTGTGCCATATTGCTGACACCAGCCTCTTGTGATGAGTTTTAAGATACAACTCCAAAATCACATTCCATAAAATAAAAAAACTGGTAAGTTTAACTTTATCAAAAACTTTTGTTTTGCCAAAGACGATGTTAAGAGAATGATAAGGCAGGCTACACACAAAGGGAAAATACTTGTAAATGACATATTTCATAAGACTTCTACCCAGAATGTATGAGCTTTTACAGCTCATTAATAAGAGACTGATAAGCAATTAAAAGTGGGAAACAGCTGAACAGATGCTTTTCCAAAGAAGCTATATAGTTAACAGGTATGCTAAAAGATGTTTGACATCATTTTTCTTTAGGAAAATGTAAATTAAAACCACAATGTAAATTAATTGATTAATTGATTTTCTTTAGGAAAATGTACGTTAAAACCACTACACACTTATTACGGTATGTGTGCACAAATACTTTATATTTCTTTCTTTAGGATGTAGAACTTATTTCTCCTACCCTTGAATGCATGCTGATCTTTAGTGACTCTAGCAAATATTCTGACAAATAAGAACGTGGAAAGGGAAAAATAATAACTTTACAATAAAAACAACATGGCAGACACCACCTTAACCAAGTGATCAAGTTTAACATCACCATCAAAGTTATGTTGTTGACATGTACTAATGGATGGGATGTGATGTGATAAGAAGAACACTTCACTTCTCTGGTATTGTTCCCCAGAGCTCCTAACCCCAGTCTAATTATTAAAAAAAAAAAAAAAAAAAAATCAGATAGACTCTTCTACAAATTATTTGGCTAATATTCTTCAAAACTCTCAAGGTCACAAAAATAAGGACTGAATGATTATCTCAGATCAGAGAACAGTTTGGAGACATGATGATTAAATTCAGTGGGATATCCTGAATTGGATCCTGGAACAGAAAAAGGACATTGTAGAAAATCTTGTATAATTCAAATAAAATCTTGTTTTTTTTTTTGTGCTCTTCCTTGGCCAATCTATCTAAAATATCACATTTCTGGGCTTCCTGTCCTCTAAACTTGTCTCATCTTTCTTTTCAGCTCTGCCACCTCTTGACTGTGTTATATTTATTGTTTGCTCCTCGCAACAAAATACCAGCTCTATGAGAGGGAGTGGATCCAAGTTTTATGAAATACAAAGACTTTGGCTGGGCATGGTGGCTCACACTTATAATCCCAGCACTTTGGGAGGCTGAGGTGAGCGGATCAGGAGGTCAGGGGTTCAAGGCCGGCCTGGCCAAACAGAGTGAAGGCCTGTCTCTACTAAAAATATAAAAATTAGCTGGGCATGGTGGCGGGTGCCTGTAATCCCAGTTACTTGGGAGACTGAGGCAGGAGAATTGCTTGAACCCAGGAAGCAGAGGTTACAGTGAGCCGAGATCGTGCCACTGCACTCCAGCCTGGGTGACAGAGCTAGATTCCATCTCAAAAAAGGAAGATTTTGTGAACCCTATATAAGAAAAATAAAGAATTTAAAATGAGGTACAAAATATATGTCTAATTAAAATAAGAAAAGAAATCAGAACAAATATATTTTAAAAATCTAGGTAGCAAAAAATTAATACAATATTTTTATTAATTAAGTACCTGTCATGCTTCTCTATTTTTTTCTGTTTGGGGCTACATATTCATTTGACTGCCTCTGTGTGTGAAAATAATTTTGCAATATATTTCTGATAAAGATAATATAAAAATATTTCAGACTTTCTTCTGGCACTTGCCCAGTTTTTTTGTTTGTTTGTTTGTTTTGAGACTAAGTCTCACTCTGTTGCCCAGGCTGGAATGCAGTGGCGTGATCTCAGCTCACTGCAACCTCTGCCTCCTGATTTCAAGCAATTCTCATGCCTCAGCTTCTCAAGTTGCTGGGACTACAGGTAAGAGCCACCAGACCCAGCTAATTTTTAAATTTTCTAACATTTGTTAACATTTTTAGTAGTTTTTCTTTTCTTTTCTTTTTTGTATTTTTAGTAGAGACATGCAACACCATGTTGCCCAGGCTGGACTCAAACTCGTATGCCAGGATTACAGGCATGAGCCACTGTGCCCAGCCAGCCAGTCTGTTTTTATTTTTAATAAATGGTATTTACAAAACATGCAGCCTAACATCCAGACAAGTCCACTGAAGTATTGCTACAAATCTGTGCTCTACAAACACAGGAATTCTAATAAATTCTATTTTATACAATTCCAATTAAGAAATGTATAGTTCATTTATAACTGTATACTTTATTGAGTATATTGCCAACAAGAGAGAATTTGAGTAAGAATGAATGAAACTCAAATTATCTCTAATAATTGTATTTGAAGACTGGAAGAGTGTTTCAGAACTAGCTTCTGACTCAAATCTTGTTTCAGTCCTGTTTCTCCTCCTCTGATCACAAACTTACAGAACTTGTTACTATAGGACAATTTATTTCATGGTATATTCTTTGGATCTGTACCATTGTGTCACATGGTTGGTAAATTAGCACAATAGGCAGTGGTAGTATTCTTGGAGGTCATCCCTACATAAGAACAATTAAGTAACTTCATGCAGAAGTGACTGCATACCACCTATACACATTCTATTAAGCTCAGATTA